CAAATATCTCTCACAACATATTAAGAAATATTGATCTGAAAGTAATATTAAAGGTAAAATTAAAAATAAAAATGATCTTAAACCAATTACTTCTTTAACCGTTTTTGCCTTATATTCATTGCAGCAACACAAAATTTAGCTACTACACAGGTAATAGCAGGTTTTAAATCCTGGAGAAGATGATTCAGATAAAATTTGTCTGATCTCACTGGGAATTTATCTACTGGGGTGAAATATAAATAGACCTTATATCCCTATAAATTTTGCAACGTAATAAAACGTGTGAGATGTTTTCTACTTCCTTATCGCCACGTGGACAGATGTGCTCCACTGTGGATTTTATTATACCTGCCTTGAAGAAGTGCTGATGGAAGAATGTTGTATCTAGCTTTAAAAAGAGCTATTCTCAACTTGGAGAAAGTTAGGGTTTGTAAATACTATGTTGGTTCCCATATACCCCTGTTTATCCACATTCTATCATGTTGGGACAGCCTGTTAACTTTGGTTTGGAACTTTACATCCCTTATTCTTTGAATAGTTAAATGCTTGGCTTGATCATAGCCCATTGCTATCAAAGATGGAAGAGAGAGCCCATACGAAGCCAACTTATGCTCCACCGCCTGTTTCCAGGGAGAAGAAAAATTATCTGTTAAAACTAAGGGAGTCAGTCCGGCTGGGAAGAATTGTATTTTAATCACTCTACTGCAGTGTTTCTCAGCCTTGGCAACTTTAAGATGTGTGGACTTCAGTGCTGGCTGGTAATTCTGGGAGTTGGAGTCCAAACGTCTTAAAGTTGCTAAGGTTGAGAAACAATGCTCTATTAGAAACTGCCTCTTGTAACCCAGTACATAAATTCCATCACCACTCAAAATTATCCTAGCCTCATTTAGCCTTAACTCAGCAACAGGCTTCATCATATTTAATTATTCCCCTGTCCACTCTATTTCTCTGAAATCTGCCATAATTTCCCTTCCACCATTACTCCCGCTAATTTTATCAAAACCTGCCTCCAAGCCACCTAGTTACTGTTGTTTAAAAAAGGAAAACAGAAGGTAATGGAGCAGAACTTGAAAAACCACCCACACCCTTTTTTTTTCTGAAAAGTTTCGCAAGATTCATCCAGTGCAGGCACCTAAGAGCCTAGCAGGCTTGCAGTATTCATCCTAGTAAATCAGAGACACTTACATTTGCTCCACGTCATTCAATGGAAGGAGTAAAACTTAACTTTCTCAATTGTGGTATGGGTTTAATTGGACCATATCGAAAGTACTGGGGAAAATGCATTATCTTCAATATGGCCCAATTAAAGCAGAGCAGTTCTAATGGAGTCTTCCTAACAGCGGAGTTAAAGCCCTTGAGCCAGCAGAATACTCTCCCACCCTAAAAGTTGCTCCCCTTAGTGGTGAACTCTATTCTACCATAGGCACAATGCTGACAAATAGTGCTATTCTTACTTACAGTGTACACAGTTGTTAAAGTCAGGGATTAGTGGATTCTCTAGCTTTGCTTCCATCCCCTCCCCTCCCATGTCAGCAGCTAGTGGAAAAACTCTCCTTAACATGGGAACATGTGAGTTTTGACCAATGGCTACACTTGCAGGTTTAGCCATCTGTCAGAACTCTGTTTTTGCACAAGTGTTTTTCACGGGAACATTCAAAGGAGCCTGACTATCAGCTGATGTCATTTTGACTGTGCTCAAGAACTGCTGCCTTTGAAGGGCCAGCCTGCCTCCCAGAGACCAGCAGATTTCCTCCCTTCCTTTCTTGACTATTCCCTGTGGCACTCTGTGGAGCAGTGGGCACGGTCAACAGCGGAGGCATTTCACTCTGGAGTATGGGAAGTCAAGCCACGGTTTTGATTCTTCTCTTCTGTTGGAGCAAAGCCCGTCATACCTGATGTATTGTTATTTTTCATTACAGCTCTTGGTGCTACAGCTTTAAATGAGGCACTGGATAAATTAACATCCTGAATAACTTTGTGACTTGTACTACCACAGTGTGTCTTATCAAAGAGTCCTTGAAAATTATTTGTTTTCTTGTGGAAACCCAATGGCTTCAGCTTTCCAAGGCTGTAGGATTACATCAGTTTCTGCTGCTATCTCCCATAAATACAGTTACCCTTTGAAATTCACTGTTTTCTTCAAGTATTACTTTGCATGGGTTGCTGTATTGGACTATGTCATAAATACTTGTTGCTATCTTATTGCATTAACACACAAGCTGGAATTATATTGTATTATACAGAATTATGCAAGTAAAAAAGAATGTAAGGAGCAAATGAGTGTCTGTTTATAATGCAAAGCATTCTTTAGCATTCATTTTATCACCCCCAATAAAGTTTGTTATGTTTAGCATCAGAGCCACACATTCTGTTTCCATTTTCAATAGACAAATATCTGTCATACAGTTTGGGGTTGCAAGATGTGTTTTCCTATTTTCCTTATTGGAAACAAAAGAAGAACTATATAAGAGACAGCAGGGTTTGAGAAAGCGGGGGGGGGGCATACTCTTAATGAGGAAAAAGTACTCATTTCTAATGCTCAAATGCTCAGATGAACTCACGTTATCTGCAGCCATTTCATATATTTCAGGCCAGAGCCACAGCATTCAGAACAGGCTGTAGGTTTAAACTCTGGTGCAGCTGAATTTATAATTATTTTTTGTTCTGAACATGCTCTTTGCTATAGTAACAAATTTCAGAGTGGAAACCTCATAGGTTTGGATTGACTCTGTCATCCAACCCCTGAGTACTTTCTTCACAAAATATTAAAGGATTTATTGAAGCAAGAGATATGGAGATACAGACAGAAATACCTCAGCCCTGGAAATCATTGGTACAACAAGGCAAGCTTTAAAGATGGAAATCTAAGACCCCACTGAGAACAATGAACAAGGAGAGAAGGAACCACATTTTAAAATAAAAGAGAAAACATTTTTCTACAGTGCCCTCTTAAAATGGACACCTCGATAAAAACAGTCAATCAAGAGTTTAAAATAATCTGTCTGTACTATATTCACAAAATAATTAATGACCAAAAGTTCACCAGCTAGGCTTGTTGTGAGACAAAACCATCTATGTATAATCTCATTGTAGTCAGCTTGCACAATAAAGCTTTCCCCAACCTGAGCCCTCCAGTTATATTCAATACTAACAGCTATCATCCTCACCCAGCATTGACAGTGACAGCAAAAAAAGAAAGAAAGAAAGAAGGTAAGTTTCTGACTGAAATAAAGTGACACTGATATTAAAAAGAAGTTACCTGGTGTGAAAGCACCACAACTAGGTTCATGCAGCACTGAATCCATTTGAGCTGAATAATGACTTGATTTTTTAAATCAAAAGATATATAAAGCTTTTTTTTGCAGAAAGACTGTTTAGAAAGCATTTCACCCATATAAATGGAAAAGGTAGACACAGGTATATCCTGATGGGGGTGTTTGATTCTTTCCTTACTGCCCATTTTTCAGTTTTAACTCTCCCAGAAGAGAAAAATGGCCTTTGGAGAAAAAAATTTAGCACAACCTAAAACTCACCCACTTTTCCACTAAAAATGAAGCTTCATGAAGTTTTGTTCTTCAAAAAAGAAAAAGAAAAAGAAAAAGAAAAAGAAAAAGAAAAAGGGACTATGTTACACACATCTGTGCTTCAGGCCAAGAACAGCCTTGCTTACACATTCTCTCTCTCGGTCCGTCCAAGGACCTTTACTCAGACATCCTGCTTTATTTATTAAACAAATGTATACCATCTTTTCATTGAAGAATGGCCAAAGTAGCTCTTGCCTGTTGATAATATCAGTTTGGAGATATTCACTAGATTTGGTAGAACAATTCTACAAGAGAAAGGTTCACTGAAACTTTGTACAGGACACTAGTCAGGCAATTTGGCTACATATGTTGGGAGGAAGCAGTATCCTAGTTGTGAATGATTCTGCTTTAAATCCATCACTATTACTTATGTTCAGATGTAACACAAAACTGGCTACTTTAAACTGCAAATGGAAGCTTTAAACTTCTTCTCAGTGCAGATATAACAAAAAACTGGCTACTTTAAACTGCAAATCACTGTTACTTATGTTCAGATGTAAGAAGTAACTGACTATTTTAAATTCCTTCCCAGTGCAGACAAAGGATGAAGAGAAGGAAAGGAAGGCTGTTCATATTGCTAAACAAAATTTGACATTCCATCTGAATAGACTAATGCAGAAGAAATCAGAAGGAAAAGAAGGAAAGTTCACTGAGAAATAGAATGGCAGAAAACCTGGATTTGAAAGATCAGGTACCATCATACCTTCCAAAGAATGATATAACTAACATTTTGTCAGTCAAATGAATCTTGGTAAGGTGGCACTAATGTTCTCACAACTAACTCATGAGTCTTGCAGCAGAGCATACAATCTCAACAAACACATATTCCCAAGTCTGCTTATACAGTACAAATGCTGAGGCAGGAAGTTGCAGAATATGGAGATGGGTAGAAGGAAGATGCTCTCAAGACCACAAGTAGCCTGAAGATATTTCCCAGAAGATAAAGTTTTAGGCCTTTTGGCTTTCATCCAGTTTTGGAGGATAGATGGGGAAAAAACTTGCTTAAAAATGGGGCACAGAATTTGTGCTGGAGATGGGCATCATCTCTTTGCTCCCATGAGCCTATTTGACCACTGTGATAAATGGTGAGAGACAGGTGTGGGTGGGCTTTTGATATACTCTCCTTTGTTCAGGGGCTTCCTTTGCCAACTACATCAAAATGGCAGGCTCAACTTGAATTGAATTGAATTGAAGCCCCAGCCCTTTTTTACACGTAAATGATGCATACAAAGGGGCAGGTTTTCACTCACCTGGTCATGCCTGCCATTTTGATGCCATTCACAGAGAGAGAGAGAGAGAGAGAGGCCCTATTTTAATGTTTCTCACTTGGCTTGGTGTTAATTAAAGGAGTCTTTGTGTTATGTTTTCCTCTCTTGAAGATTTAGTTTAAGTATAAGTGAGGCCTTTCTGTCTCCAGGTATTTTATTCATTCATTCATTCATTCATTCATTCATTCATTCATTCATTCATTCATTCATTCATTCATTCATTCATTCATTCATTCATTCATTCATTCATTCATTCATTCATTCATTCATTCATTCATTCATTCATTCATTCATTCATTCATTCATTCATTCATTCATTCATTCATTCATTCATTCATTCATTCATTCATTCATTCATTCATTCATTCATTCATTCATAAATCAAATTTATATCACTGCTAGATTTATTTCTTAATAAATCTAGATTTTAGTCAAATATACTGTAATGAAGGTCTAGGTCCACACTCTACACCCAAGACAACTATATTATGAACATTTTTTTAATGGGTTGTTCAGTGACTTATTTATCCAGGGTTATCTCAGCACTCTGCTCATGTTCAGGAGTTTACCCTCTAATGAGGGTTCCTGCTGAATCCAATCAACCACCACAGGAAAGAATGAGCCCCCTCGCTTCTATCCACTGCTTTTCCCCTGCAGACCCCCAACCCTGCAAATAAGATCCAATGTCCTCCCCTTTCTAAGAAAAGGACATTTTCTCACATAATTCCTGCTTTCAGGTGGATGGTTCTTGCAGCTTTTACCTTAGAGTTTCTTTCCTTTCTTTTCTCCCTGTAACATACTTTTTTTTTCATGGACCCAGACTTTTCTTCTTCTCTCTGGTTTTCTCATTTTTCTGGCATTTGTGGTCTGCTGCAGTGCAAACTTACTGTACCAACCTGTGTACATCCTCAAGACTCATCTCATACTTTGAAAGCTATTTTTTTTTTACTGTAATTAATTAGATAAATAATGGATCAGATTTTTATTTGTAACATCTGGGATGTTACAAATTAGAGATCATTCTGAGTCCATTTCTTTTATTTGCTCCATTTCATGTGACCTATTAGCTAAGACATCATTCATTACCATCGTTCTCTTTGCTGATTTTTTTTTCTTTTAATGAGCTCCAAATGTCCCTAAAAAGTTTTTGGCCAAATCTTCCTCAAACAATCCCTTAATGCCCTGTTGTCCAGGAAAGCAGCTGTTATCAGCTACAAAGGCAAATTTTAATTTAGAAAGGTTTTTTTAACTGAACACTTACACACACACATACACACACACATCAGTACAAAAAAGAACATGAAAAAGAATTAAAGAATATAAAACAATAAACCAGGGATTTAAACATGTCATGGAGGTTATAACTTTCTAAAATACTATGAACTCTTTTCATAGCTGTAAATAATTAAGTATATAGTACATATTATATCACATTAAAGGACTAAGAATCATTGTTAAGCTTTTTAAAAAACGTTAATGAGCTTATAGCCAAAACTTATGGAGGGTGAGGTACACAGAAATAAATGATTTTCCATTAGTGCTGGAGAACCTATCCTCATGTATGGAAAGTGAAAAGAGCAGCAATTCTGATAAAACTAATCACAAAATTATTGTAACTGACCTGAAACACACAGGTCTGCAGGAAAACGTAGCCGCCTAGAGTCATTATACAGTGAGATGGGCGGTGTATAAATGTGATCAATAAATAAATAAAATTAAGCAGCTTCTTCCCTTAATGGTCACTTCAGCAGGGTTGTGCCAAACATTCTTTAATAACAGTTTTTGCTCTGAAAGTAGTATGTTGAAGGCAATAAATAACCCCCCCCAAAAAAGAGATTACCCTTGCTACATATTTGCACTGTTCTTTTTATTCTCCTGGCAGCTTCTTGGCATCCTCACTTCTTTTCTTCTTTGCCCTATAAATCCTTGGCAACATCTGCATTCTAACATGAAATATGTACTTCCAGCTGCTCAGTTACTTGTGAGCACTGGAAATTGGCTTTCTGGGTCTAACGTGTAGTTCATACAGGCTTAAAAGCCCTCATCCACCTCTAGGTTTAATAGGTGAATTTCTGTTATTTTTCCGTGATTATAGACCTTTTTCTATAATGGATATCATTCATTTGTTCAATGGATATCATTCATTCAATTTACTGCTTCATATACTAAAACACTTTGAGTGACTTCAGGTACCATGCAACTTGACTTCAGTAGATGATAAAATAGATAGTTGGAGTATTGTTTA